AAAAAAAAATTAAAAAGAAAATTTAAAAAAGACCACTCCATCTAGGGCCAACCAGTCCCTCTGGTGAGAAATAAGGGGCAATGAAGAATCATGGAACAAGCTAAGGACTAGTAAATGGAAGCCAAGTACAGAGATAACTAGTTAGTAGCTGCTGGACTTGATGCTCAACTCCCCGACTTATGCAATGAAGCAGCTAAAATAAATGACCTCCTGGGTACTTTCTTTTTATCTCTAAAATTGTATGAATCACATCCATAGTTCTACCAGCCTCCCTTGCAGAGGGAGCTACTTACAAAGAGCCTAAGAGTGTGGAGCCAGGAGGGATCCAGTTCTCCCTGATGCTAGAAGGTGACAAGTGACATCTGACAGATATGAGTCCAGAAGCTGCAGGGGGCAAAGGGTCCTAGGAGGTCCCACTGCAGAATCAAGGGCTGTTGCAAGCACTGAGTCAAAGATGGCTCACGCTGGCCCCAGTTAAAAGAACAGAATCTGCAGCCCTTTACCCTTCTCAGGTCTGGAGGGGTAAAATTTAAAACTCCCCAGGGTCTTAAAGAACGGATCATAGCTGTTAACATTTACCAAGTGACAAGACTTTCTGGGCACTGTCAGGGCTACGTGGGGGTGACCATCTCTATCTTCCAGGTGGCTTCTGTCCTAAATGCTCCAGGGAGCCATCCAAGTTATTCAGAGAATCTACTTCCCCGGAACATGCCCTAATGTGGTACTTCAGCCCTGCCTCCCCCGAGCCAGGCAGGGCCCCTCGCAAGTGAGTCAGTGCTGGCTGGCAGAAAAGCCCCTGGATTCTTGGCTTCATTCACATGTGCTTGGCCAGCGGGATACACATGCCACACCACTAGCTCCCTCCCAAGGCTTACTAAACTGTTTTAATGATTTCAAATCAAAAGAGAAGTAAACATTTCTCAAAATTTCATTTTTCTAAATTTACCAAAGGAATTAGAAAAGACAAAATGAGGCCCGGCGTGGTGGCTCACGCCTGTAATCCCAGCACTTTGGGAGGCCAAGGCGGGCGGATCACGAGGTCAGGAGATCGAGACCATCCTGGCTAACACAGTGAAACCCCGTTTCTACTAAAAATACAAAAAATTAGCCAGGCGTAGCGGCGGGCGCCTATAGTCCCAGCTACTCGGGAGACTGAAGCAGGAGAATGGCGTGAAGCCGGGAGGCGGAGCTTGCAGTGAGCCGAGATCTCGCCACTGCACTGCAGCCTGGGCGACTGAAGGAGACTCCGTCTCAAAAAAAAAAAAAAAAAAAGACAAAATGAAATGAATACTGAACACCCACTATGTACCACGGATGCCCTAAGTAGAACTAATTTAGAACTATAAAACGTCATTTATTCCTCACTATAAACTTATGGGGGATAAGTTTCATTATTCCTTTTAAGCAATGGAGAAACTGAGGCTCAAAGAGATTAAGTACTTTACCCAAGGAAATGTAGCTAGCATGTAATAGTGCCTCAAAGTTTTTGGATATTAGAGGACATGGTGGGAGGAAGTAAATAAGGGACTGATCAAGCCTGACTCCATCTGATGCAAACTCAATTTCTCCAAACCAAGTAGATAAGGCAAATCCAAGGTAACTCTGGTAACAAAAGAGCCTTGATTTGCAGTTCCGTTGGTCAAAAGACCCTTGTGCCAGGGTGTGGTGGCTCACACCTATAATCCCAGGACTTTGGAAGGCTGAGGCCGGTTATCACCTGAGGTCGGGAGTTAAGACCAGACTGGCCAATATGGTGAAATTCCTCATCTACTAAATCTACAAAAATTAGCTGGGCGTGGTGGTGCACAGCTGTAATCCCAGCTACTCAGGAGGCTAAGGCACGAGAATTGCTTGAATCTGAGAATTGCTTGAATCCGGGAGGTGGAGGTTGCAGTGAGTTGAGATTGTGTCACTGCACTCCCACCTAGGTGACGGAGTGAGATCCTGTCTCAAAACCAACTAACTAAAAGAAAGACCCTTGAAAGCAGACCACAGATGGGCCATCTAGGACACTGCATGGGGCACATTCCCAGATCCCGGATAGAAGCAGTGCTTGCCAGAGGATACCCCTAAACCCATATTTCACATCTCACTACATCCCAAAGATATAACTGATGCAGGCCTGTCACTCAGAAATGCATACCTGACCAAGAAAACCCAGGTCCCATGGTAAATGCCAGAGTATTGAACAAGTTCTCAGGTTCCAATGGGAAAGAGTGATGTCATGTTGAGATGGTTAAGCTTGCTTGGACTTGGCCACTCTGTCCCCAGAAAAACCTGCCGCCTCCTCCCAGGTGTGGGCTGGCTGCAGACCGCCCTCTCTTAGCTCCCTGGTCAATGCACTGCAAATTCATCTGCCAGCTTCCCTCTCGTTCTTTCCCAAAAAAGGTGCAAAAAGTCTCTTCCTCTCCTACCCCTCTGGCCCTCAGGTTTGACATCTGTAAAACAAAGACGTTAAGAAAACCTGGCCTCCTGGCACCACCTCCTGGAAAAAGAAGTGGGCATACACCCCATGCCACCCGCCTGCAAAAAACACAGTGACAGGCCACTAGTCCACATGCTGTCTGGACCCTGCCACCTCCTCCTTCACCTCAGTTTCTCATTCTACTAATTAATGAATTTTTCCAATCCCTTAGGAACAGTTTCCTTCCTTCACTGCTTGACAGATGTGACCTGCAGCCTTGCAGGTGTACACAGCAGCTTCCTCCAAGACCCTGCAGCTGGTTCCCCCCCGCCCTGCCTCTCCAATATCAGCCAGGCTCCTGGGATTCACGCCTGCATGCAGAGGTCCTCGGTGGGGAGGAGGCAGGGGGCAGATCTCAGTTTCTCACTCATCGCAGGGGGCTGAATTACGTGCCCTGCCTCCATCACAGGTGGTTATGAAGACTGAATGGGCTGCATGGGTGAAAGTGCCTGCTGTCTTCTCACTGGAGTACTGATCCAACATAAAGGGTGGACAGTGTCTGGTGAGACAGCAGGGGCTGGCTGGACCACCGTGACCTTGCAGCTCTCCCACTTCTAAGAGAAAAGCCTTCTGTGAAGGTCAGATCTCCTTGTCCAAAAATTATGTAAGGAAAACTATCTGACGAATTCATGGCCGAGTCTTTTTATTCTTTCTGAGACGGAGTGTTGCTCTATCACCCAAGCTAGAGTGCCGTGGCACAATCTCGACTCACTACAACCTCCATCCCCCAGACTCAAGTGATCCTCCCACCTCAGCCTCCCAAACAGCTGGGCTAAGTTGCTGTATATTTTTTAAAAATGGGGTCTCACCATGTTGCCCATACTGGTCATGAACTCCTGAGCTCAAGATATCCACCCACCTTGGCCTCCCAAAGTGCGGGGATTACAGGCATGAGCCACCACACCCAGCCTGAGTCTTTTCATTCCTGTCCACTGGAGACAGTATGAATTCATGCCCTTCCATTTGTGATCCTGCCACCCTGGGACAGTCACTTAACCGTTCTGAGCCTCAGTTTCCCACTTAGAGGAAGCTACATCACAGGTGATTACGAGGCTCAAATGGTTGGTGTGGGTGAATGTGCTCATTCTCTCCTCTTTAAAGTACCCATCGAATGTAAAGAATTATGTATTTGTATTTCACATATAATATTAAGATATTTATAATTCTCATTGTGTAGTGCTTTCAGTCACTCCTTGACAGCACTCTCAGGAGATCTGGTAATTGGCAGCAGGAGGACAGGAACTTCCAACCTTTCCAAAGGCATTTCTCAACTCTCCATCTTCATGTCTTATATTCTAGATCTGTGGCCCACACGGTGGCCACTGCACACTTGAAATGTGGCTGGTGCTAACAGATATGCTAGAAGTAAAAAGTATACACCGCATCTGAAAAACTTGTTATGAAAAAAATGTAAAGTATCTCATCAATAATTTCTATATTTGATTACATGTTCAAATGATAATATTTTGGAAATATAGTTATATTAAATAAATTATTAAAATCTAAACAAGTTAATTAAAAAACAAATTTTGGCCAGGTGTGGTGGCTCACGCCTGTAATCCCAGCACTTTGGAAGGCTGTGGTGGGCGAATCACGAGGTCAAGAGGTTGACACCATCCCGGTCAACATGGTGAAACCCCATCTCTACTCAAAATACAAAAATTAGCTGGGCTTGGTGGCACACGCCTGTAGTCCCAGCTACTCGGGAGGCTGAGGCAGGAGAATCGCTGAACCCAGGAG